TTGCTGGCAAAGTTTCACAAATAACAAAGAAGACAATGGATTAAAATACTAACATTACTGAAATATTTGAAAAGAAGCCATGGTGGGCCAGGGATTTAGCTTGGTGGTTCTGCTGCCTGTTTTGCAAGCACAAGGTCCCAAGTTCAATCCCCTGTGCCCGCCTCCAAAAAAGCCATAGAATTCTGCTGACATATTTTCCTGGCTCTGTCCAGGAGAGTAAATCTAAATGCCCTTCCAAGACCTGCTTGTCTTTGTTCTGTTATGTTGCTTGGGCCAGTAGCTTTTAAAATTCACTCAAATTCAGATTCAACTAAACGAGACATGACATATTTCAATTGCTGAACAAAGGACGGAGGTAAATTGTAATAAATAGCTGGACTCAGTTTTGGATGCTGGACCACCATGGAGTCCCTCATCCCACTTTCCTACATTCCTCAATTCAGATAGTCAGGTAAGGACCCTGAGGACTGCTTGTCCTGTGATGCTGGGGTGTGGGTGTGGGTCAAACCTCCCAAACCTCCCAAACCCCCGGACCAGCCTCATGGCCACTATCTAGGCCTATTCTACTGTGTCTGCTTCCCTCAAGCTACCTAGAGCAGTTTATACCTGGAAATATCTTTCTGGAAGTTCCTTATTAAGGATTTTATTATACTCTTGGTGCATGTGGCTTTAGCATTCTTGAAGTCCAAACTATTTTAGGTTGGGGGCTGATGCTAACCTTTCCGAGGAAGGGCACACATGGGAGATGTTTTGGGAGTGGGCAAAGGAGTTCAGCCTTGGCTTCCCAAGAAGACAATGAAGTTAGGACACCAGGTAAAGATTTTTTTTTTGGTACTGGGGATCGAACTCGGGTCCTTGTGGTTGTGAGGCAGGCGATAGAACCAGGGAGATAAATCCCCACCCCATAAAGATGTTTTTAGAAGCACGGAGGTCACCCAAGTGGTCGCTGGCAACAGATTCAATACATAAAAATGGCACAGTCTCACAAGAGAGGAATACAGAGCCACAAAAGTGAGTAAACTACCATCTATGCAAGATTAATGTAACTAGGCCAGGTGTGGTGGCACATACCTATGACCCAGCACTCGGCAGGCTGAGGCAGGAGGATTGACATAAGCTCAAGGCCAGCCTGGGCTACATAGTGAGACCCTATCTTGAAAAAAACAAAACCAAAAACACATAAAAGACTTGACCTGATTGTGATAACACAACGTTCATTTTAGAATGTTTCAGATGTTGGAAATGGGTGCATTTCTGTATATGTTATGCTTTACAATAAAATACTGTGCAATAAATTAAAAATTATCACAATATCATAATAAAGGAAAAATATGTCAAGTCATCTGAATATGCAAAAAATTATTAGAGTCTTCAACATGCATCTACATAAAAACTTTAGCAAGGGGATGTAGCTCAGGGGTAGAATGCTCACCTAGTATGTGTGACACGTTGGGTTTGATCTCCAGCACTGAAAAAAAATTTTAAAAAGCTCTTAGCAACCTAGCAGTGGGTGGAGATCTACATAGCCTGACAAAAGGCATATTAGCAAAGCAATGCACATCAAAGAATATATAAATGATATAAAGTATATCCAAATAAATCCCAAGGCAGGAAGATCACCATGAGTTCAAGGCCAGCCTGAACTGCATAGTGACACCCTGTCTTAAAAACAAACAGATAGGGGATTTAGCTCAGTGGTTCCACTGCCTGCTGCACAAGAGCAAGGACCTGAGTTCGATCCCCAGTACCACCCCGCCCCCCAAAAAAGAAAACCAAACAGACAAGGGGCAGGGATTTAGCTCAGTGGTTTCTCTGCCTGCTGCCTAAGTGCAAAGACTTGACTTCGATCCCCGGTACCATAAAAAAACAAAAAACAAAAAAACCCAAAACCAACCAAACAAATAAATAAACATCTACATTGACATCTAAATTCTAAGAAGGTAACCTTAGAATCAGATTTTTAAAACATTTCATATTTGAATCAGTATCAACAGCTGAAATTTTAAGCCCTAACATTTATCTCATTAATGTCACAAATAATAGAAAAGTGTAAGAAGTTATTAATAATGAGAAAGAAATCATTGTAGTGGCAAATGTGAGCATAGAAGAGCCAAAAAATTTTTTCATGCTAGAAAAATACCTGAACTTGTATACACCTGGTGACGCTTACTTGGAACAGATAGTGTTTATACTAACAAAAGGACAAAATGGATTTGAAATTTGTAATTAATAATTGTCTCAAATATTGAAAAACAGAGGGACTATGATTCTGTTGCCACCTTGTTTTTGGACATTTGGCCTCCAAAACCGAGACAAAAATATTCTGTTGTTTTAAGCTACCCCGTTTTTGCATTTCATTATGGTAACCCTAGGAAACTAAAACACTTCATCTAGAGCCAATCTGAAAAGCACAATAAATAATATATTTCTAAGAAATAGTTATAAGTTTCCATTTAAACATACACAAAAGGCTGGGCATGGTGGTGCTCACCTGCATTCCCAGTACTAAGGGGGCTGAGGCAGGAGGATCTCTGCAAGTTTGAGGCAAGCCTGGGGTAACTAGTGAGTTCAAGGCAACCTGAACTACATAGTGAGACCCTGTCTGAAAAAAAAAAGCAAAAAATTGCACACAAAATAATTAAACCCATTTTAAAAACTTCATCCAGCTCCTAGTAACAGAAATCTCCCCCAAATCTAATATGGGAGGTGTTCTCACATACAAGGACAAGGTCAGCACACTTTAAAAAGCAATAAGGTTGGGCATGGTGGCACATGTCTGTAATCCCAGCACTCTGGGAGGCTGAGGCAGAATCCCAAGTTCAAGCCTATCCTGGGCACCTTAGTGACTTAGCAAGACCCTGTCTCCAAATAAAAAAGTGCTGAGGATGAAGGCCAGTGTGAATACCCTGGATTCAATCCCCAGAGTGACAAAAAAAAAAAAAAGTGTAACCTCAGCTACTCAGGAGAGCCAGGAAAATCGCAAGTTCCAGCCCAACCTGGGCAACCCAGTGAGACCCTGTCTCAAAATATAGAAAGGAGTGGGGATACAGCATAGTGTGAAGCCCTGGGTTCAATCCACAGTATTGGGAAAAATAGAAACAAAATCCCATGCGTTCTTTTTCTTTTTTGGTACCAGGGATTGAACTCGACACCTTGCACTTGCAAGGCAGACGGCAGAACCACTGAGCTAAATCCCTGGCTTTTGTTGTTTTTTTGAGACAGGGACTTGCTATGCAGTTCAGGCTTGCCTTGAACTCACTATGTAGCCCAGGCTGGCCTTGGACTTACAGCGATTCTCCTGCCTCTGCCTCCTGAGTGCTGGGAACACAAGTATGTGCCACCACGTCCGCCTGTTTTTCTTGTTTGGCTATACCATTGCAGTTTTTTTCTGGTGGAATCAGGACCACAGAGCCACTAGAACTTTGATGGCAAACCGATGGCATGGACAGCCCTCTCTGTGATATCATGAGTTGTATGAGTTCCTTCTCTAAAACTTTGGTATTCAGACTTAATTGCAGTATTGGCACTTTGTGATAAATAAGTGGGTTTTAGATTGCAGATTGGGAACTTGTCTCTAAAAGTTTCTCCATCACTGTAGTAGAAGTTGTAAGAGAACAGGGGTTCACTATACCAATCAGGCCTTATCTAAGCATACTATGTTAAGATCTAGAAAAGCGGGAACAGTACATGAGAAGTCGCAAGCCATGAAGACCAGAGTTTGTGTTCTGTGACCCACGTGGGATTTCAGAAAAATCCAAATTCTGGGTTCCAGACCACTCAGGTACACCCTTGATGCCAGGTCACAGGGATGTCTATGAGGCCTACACTCTAAAAAATGGAGATCCAGCCCTTGGTCTTTGTTTTGATGATGCTGGCAAAACATCCAGGAAAGAAGCTAAAGGCTGGTGGTCCCCAGGCCACTACACATTATCTGTCACCATTTATCCAGTCCCTAAAATCCAGTAATGAACTTCATCCTTCCTTCAAAGTCTTATGCAATTTAGGCTATTGCTAAATTCTAACATGAAATCATAAAGGGAAAGAATTCTTGCAAATTTGGTTGCTATGACATCTGTGTTGCTGGTGTGGTGACACACATCTGTAATCTCAGCACCAGGGGGGCTGAGGCAGGAGGATCACCACAAGTTTAGCACCAGGCTGGGCTACTACATAGTGAGTTCAAGACAGACAGAACTACACAGTGAGACCCTGTCTTAAAAATAAACAAATAAGGCTGGGGATTGAGCTCAGTAGTTCTGCTGCCTGCCTCGCAAGTGCAAGGTTACTGAGTTTGATCCCCAGTACAAATAAATAAATAAATAAATAAAATAAACAAACAAACATCTATATTGACATGACAAAATCCATAAGAATTACCTTCAACTCTGGATTGCATTGTCAAATAATGGTGTCACCTAAGTCAAAACCTATTGCCCAACTTACGATCACAGGCAAAAGTAAAGGGCAAATGTAAAGATAGCTATTCGTAAGACACAAATTCTTTGAAGAACTTTGCATAACTACAAATTTCTGCCAGCTATGTATTAGGAAAAAATGGAAAAAAACCTCCTCTAGTTGCCCTAAAAAAACTCAGTAATGTCCTGAGTTTGATCCCCAGTACTGAAAAAAATAATAAGAATTTTAAAAGAATTTTTAAACTCGGGCCTGGGATTTAGATCAGTGGTTTTGCCACCTGCTGTGCAAGCACAAGGACCTGAGTTCGATTCCCGGTACCAAGAAAACAAAAAAAAATAATTTTTAAACTCTCAGCAAGAAAGTTGGAAAATAAGTAAATGATATCCAAAATCTATCATAGTAAATCAATAAGAAAATAACAATTCCCAATCCCAATATAATTCAATGTCATCATTCCAGTAACACATTAGAGAACAATTTAAAATAAATAGAAATTATACATATTTGCATATTTAAAATACACTTAAAATAAAAATAGAAATGCACTTCAAATCACCCATGAACCCCTTAGTAAGACAATTCAAGATAACAGAAATTAAATCCACTTGCATACTAAAAAATACACTTCAAATCATCCACAAGTCCAACAAGCTGTAAAGATGTGTCATTTATTGAATTGTAGGAAAAAACATATTTTGAGTTTATTATTATTTGTTTTTTTGAGCTAGGTCTCAGTATGTAGTCCAGGCTAGCCTTGACACATTTACAACAGGGCCATAATTTATATATCCAGCTGCCAAGTGGTTCTGAACCACCAGTAGTATATGCATGACTGTCCCATCAAGCAATGTGAGACAGTCCCACTGAATGATACAAGCTGCCCAATGGACAGTCATGCATGTACCACCAGTGGTTCAAGTTGGAAGGAATGTGTTAAACTCACTATGTAGCCCAGGCTTGCCTTGAACTCATGACCCTCCTGCTTCTCCTTCTCAAGTACTGGGATTACAGGTGTGCACCACCATATCCAGCCTTGAAGAATTATTTTTTTTCCTTAAATGTTTATTTGTAAATGAAACCAGACTCTTTCTGTGTCCACTGTGAGACTGAGGTACTAATCAGGGCAAGGCCATATTTACAACTTTTATAAGGTTGCTGTCCTGGGGTGCATTTTGTGGAACACTGTACATGAATTCACTTTCAGGAGGATGTCCCACATCACATGTATATTGCTTTTCTGCAAAGTGTATCCTCATGTGTCTCCTCAGTGATGAGGAACAATTGAAGGCCTTCTCACACTCCTTACATTGATATGGTTTCTCTCCGGAATGCAGTCTCATGTGTACTGGTAAAGACGATGGCCATTTGAAAACTTTCCCACATTCCTTACATTTATAGGGTTTCTCATTAGTGTGGGTTCTCACATGTTGCTGTAAAAGCTCAGGCCAACTGAAGGCTTTCCCACATTCCTTGCATTTGTAGAGTTTCTCTGCAGTGTGTCTTCTCATATGCTTTTGTAAGGATATATGGCAATAGAAAGCTTTCCCACAAAGCTTGCACTGATAGGACTGGTCCTCAGGGTGGATTCTGACTTGGTCTTGAAAGCAAGCTGACAAACTGAAGGTTTTCCCACACTGGATACACTGATAGGGTTTCTCTCTGTCATGTATTCTCATGTGTTTTCGTAGGGATATGGGCCAATTAAATGTCTTCCCACACTGCTTACAATCATAGGGTTTATCTCCAGTGTGTACTCTCATGTGCCCTTGGAAAGATGAGGGATGACTAAAGGTTTTCCCACACTGAGTACATTCATAGGGCTTCTTTCCACCATGAGTCCTTTCATGTCTTCGAAAGGATTGGGGATAAATGAAGGCTTTCCCACACTCTCTGCATTCATATGGTTTCTCTCCAGTATGGATCCTTTCATGTCTTCGAAAGGATTGGAGATAAATGAAGGTTTTTCCACATTGTTTACACTCATGTGGTTTCTCTCCACTATGTGTGATCGCATGCCTTCGAAATGCTGAGGAGTAACTGAAGGCTTCTCCACATTCCTTGCATTTGTGTGGCTTCTCTCCTGTGTGTGATATCATGTGTCTGCGAAATGTGGAGGAATAGCTGAAGGCATTCCCACATTCCTTACACTTGTATGGCTTCTCCCCAGTGTGTGTTATTGTGTGTCTGCGGAATGTTGAGGAATAGCTGAAGGTTTTCCCACACTCTGTGCATTTATATGGCTTCTCTCCAGTGTGACTTCTCAGGTGGCTATTGAGACTTGAGAAGTCAATGAAGGCTTTCCCACAGTGCTGGCATTCATAGTTTTTCTCTGCAGTGTGAGTCCTTACATGCCGATTGAGGGAAGAAGTCCGAGGGAAGGTTTTCTCACATAATTCACAGGCATAAGGTCTCTCTCCATTGTGGGCTCTCACATGTGCTCTCAAGTATGAATGACAACTATAGGCCTCTCCAAATTCCTGACACTGGTATGGCTTGTGTCCAGTGTGAATTGTGATGCGGCCTTTGGAAGACAAACGTTGCATCATTTTTCTATACTGTTTTGCCCCAGTAGTGATTCTCTTATGTAGATTAAGATTTGGAATCTGGCTGAAGGTGTCTATGCATTTGCCATTACTTCCACAGAATGTCTCCACTGTTTCATTTCTATTAAAAGTAAGGTACATGTAATTAATGGCTTGATTAATAAGGATTTACTAATATTTATTCATAACTATTAAATTACTTTTTAAAAGGAAGGGACAAGAAAAAAGTGAAAGTAGATGGAAACAAAGCTTTTGTACATAGGGAAGAAGGGGGTTTGAGAGGGGAATAAGATAAAATAAAATAAAATTTATTAATAAAAATATTTTTTTAAAATTACTTTTTAGTCATTTTCAGCAAAAGGGCAGGTTTTCTACCCTAACTGAATTATATGGAATAAAATAAATGTTCAAGAAAAATTTGGTCATTGTCAATATTAAATACTTTGTATATAAGAAGTTTCATTTCATTTTTCTTTTTCTTTTCTTTCTTTCTTTTTTTCCTTTTTTTTTTTTTGTTTAACAGTAGTAGGGACAGAACTCATGCCACTGTATATGTGCAAGGAGCCACATACAGGTTTTGGCCACAGAAATTTGAGGTCCAGATCAACATGAACAGAGAAGAGCTGCATAATGATTTTGAAAGTAAGTTTATTATAAAAGTACAGCAGATATGCACATAGTCAAATAATATATTACCACACAACAAGGCAGGGGACAGCACCAAAGATGAAGGATCTTGTGTGAGATGGAGTCTTCGGAGGGTGAGAGAAAAAAACACCACAGTGTATCCAATTTATTAGTTTCCTAAGTACTGTGTTCAGACAAAAGTGAGTTGGTGCCAATAGGTCTGTGTGGCTTTAAGAGATCATTCCTGGCCTTGGCTGGACTCAAGGACACACACACTGACAGCGCACTCAAGGCTATCTGTAAATAACATTTTCTTTCCCAATGGAGATACTTTTTTCTGTGAGGAATGGCAAGCAGCCAAGTTCATTCAGTGAACACCTATATTTTGCTGACTCCCATTATTTTAACCCTTTTCCTGACAACATGCTAGGTAAGCGCTCTATCACTGAGCTACACCTCTAAACTCCTCTTCTAAATTTTATTTTGAAACAGGGTCTTACTGAATTGCCCAGGCTGACCTTGAACTTGCAGTCATCCTACCCAGCCTCCTGAGTAGCTGAGATCACAGGCAAATACTACTGTACTTGGTGGAATTTCTTGATAATTGTTTTCAATTCAATTATGTTTCTAACACTGCATGTCTAGGTCACATTTAAAGAAATACTTTTTGTAAAAGTTCAGTGAGTAGCAGGGTGTGGTAGAGTATATCTATACTCCTAGCTACTTGGGAGGCTGAGGCAGGAGGATTGCAAGTTCAAGGCCAGCCTGGACAACTTGCTGAGACACTGTCTTAAAATGAAGTTTTAAAAAGGGATGTGGCATGGTGTAAAGCAATTACCTAGTATGTGAAGCCCCTGGATTCAATCCTCAGTACCCTTTTAAAAAATTAGTACATAAACTCACGGCTGGGATTATTTTGTTTGCTGGCTATTTCAATTTCATGACATTCTAAGATTCTCTCTTGGAAAGCTGCTTTCTCTTGTTGAATGTGACTTACCTTAGATTTCTCCCCTGGCCTGTGTGCTGATCTTCAAAGGCAAAATCTTCCCAAATTTTCCCAAAAGCAGAGGCCCAAGAATCATTCTTCGTCAGTTTTGCTATTTCTGGTTTCTTAGGTATTTTTTCTCCATAAATATCCTGCTGAGAAACTGAATCTCTGGCTTTAAATTGACTTTCATCATCTGAAACCAAAAAGGAAACACATCTTAAGAGCAAAAACTACCTGTTAGTAGAAAATCAAAATGAAAAAGGACACAAGAGTTTCACTATTTCAGGACTTGATCAGGCAGAAGGGGTCAAAGCGGTGAGCAGTTTCACTAACATGTGAAACTCTCACTGGATTACAAAACAAAGTTCATCCGGCCCATGAAATTTTCATCTACAATGATGCCACCAAGGGAGTTTTCCTTGCAGAAAGAAAAAACTCAGTTTAATAGGTTTTCATTCTCATGGGAAAACTGTTGGATTCTAGCTCCATGGCCACGGTGAACAGGTCTGACTTATGTACCCATATACTCCCTTTCTACATTCCATGTCTCGGAAGAGGCTAGATGTATAAGAGATACTTGCTGTCTAATTGACCAAGTGAGGAAAGGATGTCACCCTTACTGATGGAGGCCAGGTTCCAGAATGTCTCTAGCATCACGTCTCTGTAGAGGTCCCTCTGTGCAGAATCCAGCAAAGCCCACTCCTCCTGAGTGAACTGCACAGCCACATCCTCGAAGACCACTGAGTCCTAGAACAGCCAACATATGTGCAGGAAGAAGGTTGAGTTTGACCTCACAGGGCCACCATAGTTGATTGACGTACAGTTCCAAAAGGATCCATGGGCTGGGGATTTAACTCAGTGGCACTGCGCCTGCCTTGAAAGTGCAAGGAAGGTCCTGAGTTCGATCCCTGGTACCAAAAAAAAAAAAAGGATCTTGGGGTCTCCCAATAGCCAACTTCTGACTCAGTCATCAGACCTCTTCCTGTTTACACTTGTGTCCTCGTGGATTTAACAGCTGATGCACTGAACACATCTCTACATTTTTATTGGAACCATTTCAAGGCATATTTTTCTTCTTTTTTTTTTTGTACCAGGGATCAAACTCGGGACCTTGTGCTTGCGAGGCAGGTGCCGGAACTACTGAGCTAAATCCTTGGCCCAGGCATATTTTTCTTGATCAAAAGGGTTCAGAGCACATCAGGGATGCCAAAAAAATACTATACTGGTGAACCCAACATTTGTACGTAAATTCCATGTGTGAGTTACTTTCTCATCCCTGGGTCACAATACCTGATGGGAAGGAGAGGTATATTTTGGCTCATGTTATAATCCATGGTCGGCTGGCTCTGAGGCAGAATGGCATGGTGGAAGGGCCTGAGCAGAGGAAAGCTGCTCATGCCATGGTGGCCAGGAAGCAGAGAAGGGAGGAACCAGGAAGGGACATAAACACTGCCAGTCAGGCCCACCTCCCAATAGTACGCATAGCTACTCAACTCACCAGTGGATGAATCCACCACTGAGTACCATGCCCCATGATCCAACCACCCTCTTGTGGTATGGTTTAGACCTGGAATGCCTCCCCAAGGCTCACTGTTCAGAGGTGGGGGCTGGCTGGAGGTGGATCCCTGGGACTCCGTTGGAGCCAGCTGACCATAGACTAAAACTCTGAACCAAAATAAATCTCTCCTCCTTTAAATTGTGGGGGTAGAGTATTTTGTCTTGGTGACAGGAAAGTATCTAACACACACCAATAATGCCTTATGACAAGCTATTTCAGCTCCTTTCCCAATGCATACCATGCCCCTCAATACCACAGGAACAAAAAGGCCAGTCCTGGATGACTTTATTGGTACTGCTACTTTGTGGCAGTGCTGGGGATAGAACCCAGGCACTTAGTCACATCCTCTGCCCATTTTATTTTATTTTAAAGCAGGACCTTTCTAAGTTGACCAGGCTGGCCTTGAACATGCAACCCTCCTGCCTCATCCTCTGGAGTAGCTGGGATTATAGGCATGTCCCACCACCCTTGGCTCTGAATGGTACTTTAGGGACTAAAAACATTCCAAAGTCCTGGGAACATCCTCTCCCATTCCCTTTACCAAACATGAGGCCAAATGGCCCTATGCCAAAAGATAGAAGAGGGAGTTATGTCCGTGTACCAATTTCCCATAAGGAATGTAATCACTATGTACTGCAAACATGTATTAATGAAATAAAAATTTTAAAAGTTGGGAGCCAGGTATGGCGATATGAGCCTGTAACTCAGCACTTGGGAGGCTGAGGCAGGAGAATTGGCACGAGTTTGAGACCAGCCTAGCCTACATAGTGAGCTCAAGGCCAACCTTAACTATGTAGTGAGAGTCTGTCTCAAAAAAACAAAACAAAAAAAAAGTTGGAAGAAAAAAAAAATCACAGCTCCATCCCCAGGGAGGGCTTGCTGAAGGTACTGGCTGTTTTGAGCCACGCTGGCTGAGAAAAGAATATAGTAAGTGCAGCCTGTGTGATTTGATTTTTATTTTCTCCTCCAGGTAGGAGAAAGGGCCCCATGTTCCCAAAAGCTTTAGATAAGGGGGACAAAAAGCTAAAAGTTTGTATTCTGTGGAGAGGAGGGAATGTTAAATTACTTCCCAGCGGTAGCACACACTTTTAGATCCAGCAAGGGAGAAAGTGCATGGGACTTTCTAGCCTTTTTTCAACCTGCTCCTGAGGCTGCCAGAGGCACCGGAACAGTCAAAATCTTCCCTGGTTGCAGGGAAATAATCTTGGTAAATGCAAATTCACTGCCAGCCCTCTGTGGTGGGGTGCACTGTGTCCCTCAGAAAGATACAAGGGGGCTGGGGATTTAGCTCAGTAGTTCCGCCACCTGCCTCACAAGTGCAAGGTCCCAAGTTCGAGTCCCTGTACCAAAAAAAAAAAAAGAAAGAAAGAAAAGATACAAGGAGTGAGCAAAATGTACAGTGTGTGCTTAAATTTTAAAAAAATATTACACTAAGTTGAGCATGGTGGTAAACACCTAAAATCTCAGCACTCAGGAGGCTGAGGATAGAGGTGAGTTTGAAGCCAGCCTAGGCTACACAGTGAGTTCAAGGCCAGCTTGAACTACATAGTGAGATCCTGTCTCAAAAACAAACAAAAAACTGTTACAGTAAACAAATTATCATACTGTTATATCCTTAAAACTAATCTTGGAAAAACAGAAACTTACTTAGCATATTTACTTTACATGGTGGAAATATCTGTATTAAGTCTGATTGATGTAGAGATGTTACAAAAATTTATAAATCTTAAAGGAGATGTGATAAAAGGGTTTATCTTGAGTTTTTTCCTCCTGAATGCTTACATCTTAACAAATGACCAACATGGTAGTTTAAAACCTTAATTGTTGGTAGATGACTGAGGCACAGATAAAAATAGTAACATCAGCTGTTTACTACCATATCAAATACAACTGACCATGTATATTATCTTACTTAAAGAAGTCTTTGACGGGGCTGGGGATTTAGCTCAGTGGTTCCAGAGCCTGCCTCTCAAGCACAAGTTCCCGAGTTCGATCCCCGGTACCAAAAAAAAAAAAAAAGAAGTCTTTGACAAAAAAGCAATATCTGTCATATGTAAATTTTCTTGTTTTAAAGAAAGAAGTTATGTTCCATAAATATAAATTATGTAAATAAAGTTATTTTATAAGAAAAAAACTGTTACAGTAAAAGATACAATGCCATTAATCCCCTGAAAATACTCCTCCCACTTCGAACACACTTATCCCACAGTTTTTGTCACTTAGTTCTGGGATTAAAGGCATGCCCCAACACACCTGGCTCTTGCCACTTTCTGCATCAGCTCTGGAGTCCTCTTTACTGAGGGTCTTTAAAAGTGTGATCAAAAACACAGTGACTGCTGTGCCAAGTGCCATCCAATGCAAATGCAGCTCATAAAAACATAATGGTGTCCACATCCACCTTATTCACCAGATCTAGGACCGTGGGACTTCTGGGTCCTCCCCAAAGTCAAAATGACCATGAAAAAGTAAAACTTTTGAATCCATTCGGGACAACAAGACAGCTATAACAGTGCAACTGAAGACACTCAGGAAACAAGACTTCCAGACCTGCTGCAGAAAGGGCTAAGAATGATGAGATAAGTTCGTTGGAAGTGAGGGGAAGGATTCTGAGGGGGATTCATGGCAATGTGGCTTTTACTGTAAGGATTTTTAAAAAATTTAAACATTCACCATAGTTTTCAATCACACCTCAAATGTCCATCTCTAACCCCCAGTACCTGGAAATGTGTCCTTATTTATTATCCAGCTTTTGCAGGTGTAATAAAAAATTTTTTTGGAATAGAACAGGTATATTTCTATTGGACTACCTGATACAGAAGATAGTGTGGTATGATGGATGGATAGTATGAATGACAAATAATACAAATACATTTTATTTGAAATAAAAAATGCGAACACAGCTTTCACTTAGAAACAAACTCTTGCATGACTGTTATTACTGAACAAAACAAAGCTGAAGCATAAACAGCCTTCTTTTTTAACATGTATCTGGAGATAGGTAGGAAGATGCTACTTGGTTTTCTAAAAAACTGACCTCCCTTTAAGGCCTGGTCATAGAAGTGTAAACAATGTAAATGGACCCACCATTATCAGTTGTCTTATCGTATCTCTGTCACCTGCGTATTCGGAGATCACACATTTACCTGCCAATATACCTGGGAAGGGTTACTATATCACAGTTACTTTTGAGTTCTTGGCAGGCAGGACTAAGGAAGAGTGATTTGGAACAAGTTTTACATGCTATTTAGAAAACTCTAGTATTCCATTACATAACGGGTAACAATAGAGAGATACTGCCTGGAAGTTACTCTTTTCACTTCGGTTTAGTTTTAGTTTTTGTGATTTATAGAGCTGTTTGATTCATTTGCTTATAGTACAATCCTGCCACAAAGTATTGAAGGACAAGATATCCGTGATTCCTTCCACACTACATTTTTCAAGTTTTACTACATCAACAGTATGTCAGCAGTTCTAAAAACAAAACAAAACAAAAACAACAACAACAGAAAAACAAAAATGTAAATGGGTAAAATTCTTCTAAAAATGCAGGTGTCAAGGGCCAGGGATTTAGCTCAGTGGTTCCACACCTGTCTCACAAGCGCAAGGACCCGAGTTCGATCCCCGGTAACAACAACAACAAAAAAATGCAGGTGTCAATGCCTACAACAGGGAAGAACACAATGACAGAACCCCCTCCTCTCCAAAAAAACAAACATATTCATGTGCAGGGAATGTGGTTCAAGTCTTTGGATTTAAAAACAAGTGCCCCCAGGAAAGCTGGCTATCATGGAATTTCCAGAACGTTTATTTTGGCCCTACCAAATGGACCTAATGCACAGTTTAAAATGAAAGGCCCCAATGCAAAGTTAAAAAAAATAACAGTTATGAGATGTTACGAATGATGATCAAAGCAGTCAGAGGAAGAAGAATGACTGTATCTTCCATTTAGCTGGTTTGTGGCACAGCCTCTTCAGCTGTTGGATCAGTAAAAACCGCTGAAGTACCAGAAGTGCTTTGAAGCATAGGGGTAAAAAAGTACTGAACATATTATCTACACAGTAACAGGACTTCATGGCTGGGAAAATTTTCTAAATAGTAAAATGACTCCAAGATAGATGTCTCTCTTTCCAACATAAAACATAGCAGGAAAAAAAAAAAGACTTACAAGTAGATATAGTAATAACAGAAA